TATTTAACATGCTCCCAATTTTTTAGCAGTAACAGCTACCTTTTTAACTCTTATCTCAATAATGTATTTGACATTAACTCTCTTCCGGGAATTTTTTTTATGGTGCCGAAGATTAAACCATATCAGAGAATAAAATTGTTTGAGATGAATAAAACTGGAAATATATTATTGAATGGATTTCAAAAGATACAATACTATCCCGAAAGATTGGACTAGTAATATCTGGAATTCTAATAGAAATCGAAGTAATATAAGGATTAGATTTTACACAACAAGCTGATACATAAACTATTGGTTTTTATCCGATCAAACAGTGCTCCATTTATAATGCTCAATTTTCAAATAACCATTTTTCTTATATCATTTCAATTCTTGCAAATATTGGGAAAAAAATTTTATTCGGTTTCATAATTGCTAAATTTATTTTTCACAGAGATTTGACGTTTTATTTCGAAAAGTAAAGTAAAATAATAAATAAAAATATCTTTCAGTGAAATTTCACATGTATATATACATATATATATATACGTTTCGTAATTTTTTGTATTATTATTATTGTGAATAAGTGATGAATGAAACTTCTTTGTTGTTTACGAAAAAGCGTAATTTTTATTAAACTATATTTCGAATAAACGAAAAAATTGACCCATCCACAAAATATTATTTCTTTTTTCGTTTTTTTCGCTTTTTCACTTTTGGCGCAATTTCTGCTGGTATTGTAAATTTTAATACATTACCGTCTTCTTCCACATCTTTTGCTTTTTTCTATATATGTTGAATTATTACATTGAGCATGGTATAGCAATAATTCTTATTTGTTAATTTTTTTATGACAATGTAATCAAAATATTACAAGTTATGAATCACTTGTTATAAATATTACAAGTTATAAATCACTTGTAATTAACATTTGTAATGGCATATCTGATGTGAATAGAACTAAAAGGAATATGAAAAAGTTGTATGTGTACAATAATTATTTTTTAAATTACTAATAGTCAAATTATATTTTCATTATGTAACCTCTTATCTTTTCCATTATTGATAATTTCAATGATTAAGAAAATAAAAAGCAAACTTACAAGGAAAACATCCCAATTGATTGCATCTCCTTGTTCTGTCTTCGCTATTGCTCCATATCGTGCTTTGAGTTTTTCAATTTTAACACTAAACTCCTCATCGGATATATTTTTCCTCGTCTGTAATAACATTCAGAAGTAATTTATTTCTTCCAAACAAAATATCCTGAATTGAAAAAAATCGATTTCCATATCATTTATGATGATTCATGAAAGTAGTTACAAATGAATTATTTTTGTTCTATCTGATTCATGTTAATTAATGACTTCTAATTCCTTTTCAGTCATATTAGATGAATAAACCCTTAAATTAAATACATACACCAATTTCAGGTTGTCCTGGTTTCCATTTATCAGGACCAAAAACGTCAAGATCTTTGTCCATGAAAATGTATAATGTCTAAAAGTGCAACCAATAAAAATTCAATATAAGTTGTGAAAAAAAAATTTAAGTTGTTATATTTTATTATGATAGGTTTGAATTTTTTTTAAATTATCATGTTTTATTATGACAAATTTGAATCTTCTTAAGTTACCAATTTTTATTTTGATAGGTTTAAATTTTCTGTTCCATCTTTAACCTTATATCTCGGGTCATCATCATCAGCAACTTCCATTGTCCCCTCTTTTATTTCTGGTAATGGTTCCTCCTGCGCTGCAGCTTTTTCATTTTTCTCAATTTTGCATTTTGGATCCTCATTACTATTAGCTTTCATTAAATCTCTTTCTCGTTTGCGTATTGATTCATCCTGAAGTAAATTTTAGGATTAGTTTTATATTTCCTTAGGAAATAATGGTATTTTTCGAACAAAAAAGATAATTCAATCGTTTGCGAATTCAAAACTTTTAATTTCGCTAAAAGAAAAAAGCCTTTCAACCTCATTTATAATAATATTCCCTTCGGTCTCCTGTGTCATCTTTGTTCCGCCAATTGTAGTAGTGAGTTGTGGTTTGGCTACATCAGCAGAAATTTGTTTATTTGTCTGAAATGATTCTTTTGAAGTAATTTTAAAAAGTATGAAAGGCTATTCTTAGAGCTAACAAACTAACAACTTTTTCGCTTGTAGAAGTATTTAATCGATTTATCACATTCATAAGGACATAATTTTCCGGATTCATTCCTATGTTAATAACGTTCTCTTAATGACTAAATTTTCTGATTTTAACAAAATTAATAGGACGGATATTAATTTCTCACTCAATATTTAGGCCAAATCTCATTTTCATAATCTATTATGGACCGGACATAAATTTATTGTTGAAAACTTTCGAGTGAGATCCAAATCTTACTTCTTTATCGCTACTAGAATCCATACTCTTTTCATCACCCTTGTTTTCCACTTCCGGTTCATCATATTTCCTCAGTAATTTTTGTTTCTTTTTCAGTGACAATGGTCTCTTTTTCAATGATACTAAATAAAAGTTCATATAAATTGTTGTTTCTTGTAGAATATGTAAACAACAATAATATACCATATTCTAATTCTAATATAAAATGAATAAGGCCAAAACCCCAAGGTCATTGAACTAATTAATTAGAATTGTCCACAGAAATTTCTGATTTGAATACTATCAAAATGTATGCCAGTGAAGCATATGACATCAAAGCTTCAGGTAAATCTAAGAATACTGACATAATTAAGCTAATTATTGGCGTAATTAACCATTAACGAAAGTAATTTACTTAGAAACTATGAATCTCTCTAACTCTCGTTATGGAAAGTGAGGAAGCGAAAATTTTTATACTCATGCGAAGCTATTTACGTGAAACGAGAAATGATTGTTTGGTTGTCAGTTAGTTAAACGTTGCTTATTGTAGAATTGATGGATCAATGGCATTAGTAAAGTTAATTTTCCAATATAACCTTTTTTCCGTTTCCCACTGGCTCGAAAAGATTTCAAACAATTATGGCACACAAGTGTTTTCGCCTATAAGAGATAAAACTTTGTACGAAAATTGGAAATTTTCGGAATTTTCACTTTCGCAACCTTACAAAATGATATTATTAGGGAAGATATTATACATTTAAATTGTAAGAACCTGTTTTACTGGTCGTTTTTTACCTGTTTTGTTCGGTCGCTTCGATTTCTGAAGTGTTACAAAATGATAAATTTAGTATTATTTTCAATTTCTGATGAGAGAATTTTAGCTAAGCTAATCAGATTATTTTAGTAGTTGAAGTAAAATTTGAATCTTCAAGAGGTATATTTAATGCATTTGTAATTTGAGGTACAAATACATTCATGACACCTTCTGAGGGTATCTGGTTGGAGAAAATCAGCAGATGTTCGAAGCAAATTTACAATTAAATTGCAAATGTTACCTTTTTTCTACAATTACAAATAACATATGGCATAAATGCCATCGTAACACATATTAATTGAATGAGTAACATGTACATCTTCTAAAGCCAAACCGAAAATTGGAATACATTAGTGGGTTATTGAGTCTTTTAGTGGTATTAATGATTGCGGCGAAATGATACATTTTGGAATAATGTAAGAAATTTCGGACCAAATTTATGTTGAAATTCGTAAATTTTGTTTTTATGTAGCGATTGCTTCTTAATTTGAAATAAAATTCGAACAATACTGCTGATTTGATGAAACTTCAATAAATTAGAAGAAATTACTAAATTGTTGTCCATGCTAATGTTACTTGTAGAGAACAAAAAAAAAACCTTGATTCTATATAGCTCATAATTGATCTATAGCACTGTTATCTCGAATTTTCCGCTTATTTGAATACTCTAGTACCACTAATAATAACAATGATTCTGATAATATAATACTTTATATCATCAAAATATATTATCGCACCAAGTAGGGGAAAACTTTTTTATTTTCACTTAACTCCTTCCTTTAAAAATATATGACCCAGTTTATTATACAACCAAAAGGTAGCAATCGTGATAATAACAATGTTTCATTTGTTATTATCAAAAGGTTTAAATAAGAAGCATGTAAGATATTCATTTAGTAAATGGAATTTTCTTCACCGATCACTTCACAAGTGTCATATACGTTTCGTTGCTCACATTGAAGTTTGTCGTGCAAGGACACACATGGAAATTGAATCGAAAAAATTATTGGAAAACGAAGGATTTACTTCCTTTGAAGAAGTATTGCTGTAAAAATCGATCCTTTTGAGTTGCAACTAAGAGCAACGAATTCAGTTTGGAACGGTTAATTATCAGACGGCAAAAGGAAGAAGCAGTGGATTGTAATGGATGTCAATTAACGAAACGATGAGTAAAGAAGAAAAATATGGCAGATAAGTGGAGAGGTTGACAATGTCAATGAGGGATACATATGCGTATACATAACGTCAACAAAGGAGATTTACAATACAAGATTCAGATGGTAACTCTATTTTAATGGCCTCTTTGTCTATTACCGTATGCAGATGACTAATATAGGTGGACAAGAAGAGGGGAGATTCAAGTGTTAAAACTCAATATAAGTACCAGTCACATTGTGGTCACATATGTCACATATGAGTACCAGTCATACTGTTTCGGGATTCCAGACTCATCACGAGATTAACGTTCATAACAGTTATGTACGATGTTACGCTGAATATTCAAGTTAGAATGAAGTTTCGCGTTTTTAGCTCGTATAAACAGTGATCGAGACAGATTTTCACTTCTTCTCTTGAAACGTTAGGATGAGAGTAAATCTACCATTATCAGCAGTCTCTTCTCCAACCTAAACCGTTATTTCAGTTGATCCCTGTCAATCCGTCATAGTCCTGACAAAAGGTAGTTGGGCGGTCTTCAAATATACCGCAATAAGCATGATAATCGAAGCCATGACTACAGTTTCAGCTGTTTCACGATTCACTCCAGTTTTACTCTAAACTTGTTGGAATCAGGAATATCAAGATAACAGCCAAGACAGGGCTCATTCAATTTAGTTCCTTTTAGTAATTCAAAGTGTCGCCGATTCATCGTGACAAAAGCTGAGGGTTCTTCCTGTCTCTTAAGCTGTAGTACCTCAAACTTGGGTAATTAAACTTTTTTTTAACGACAAATTTATTGATACAACAACGAACTTAGCAATTACGATATCGATACAAATTAACGACGAAACCACTAAGAACAGAGGAGACCAAAATGATGCCCGGTATCGTATATCCAACTGACCTCGATGAAACATATTCCTAAAACGACTTGGCGCTCAGTACCCTCCGCTTTCTTTTGCGGGAGGACATCGTACCTTTTTATTACAAGAATTAGCATCCTTAAAGAGCGCACATTGGCATAGTATTCTTTGTTAGCGCAAACGTAAGACGATATGGGCATATAAAGATGTCTGGCTTTCAATAAAGGGGACTACTGTTTTTTTGTTTCTACTTGCGAGATCAACGGTACTCCCGAGGCGAGTGTGGTTTGGGCCTTATCCTCGGTAGGAAACTCCAAAGGATAGAAGTGTCCTGCTGCTCTCACTAGCTCTTTTCCGTTAGCTATTCTTACAACCACTGATCGAAATATACCATCTTTGCCCCTTATGAGTCTGTCGATTCTTCCCATTCTCCAGGTATTTTTGGGACAGTCTCCTTTCAACAACATCAACTCATCAATTTCGGGTTCTCGTCGAATTCGGCTGCGAGTCCCTTGGTGTTTGCGTTGAGCTCGTTTTCTTAGTTCTTCTAGGTATCTCGCCATATTTTCCATAAATGGTCAAATCTCTTGCATGTGGTCATGTATTGATGTTTCAATTCCTTTGTTTGTAAATTTTCTTCCCTGCATATCGTCTTATCCTTGCGATAAGCCCTTCTGTCAAATTTTCTCTTCGAGCTGGGCCTGGATTCAAGAAATCTCCAGGTTTTAACACTAAACCTATTTCTTCCAGATCCACCAAGGGTTTTTCATTGATAATCGCCACAAGTTCAGTAACTAAAGTTATCAATGCTCCGTTGTTAAGCTTTGTACCGATGGCTTTTCTTAGAGATCCTTTAACTACTCCAACCATTCTTTCATAAACGCCACCCTGCCAAGGAGCGTCTGGAGTAATGAATTCCCACTCCATTGTTTCATTTTCCGCTGTATTTAATTCTACAAGTACTTTGGAAGCTGCTATAAAGTTCTTGGCATTATCGGAAATTATGTGTTGTGGTTGTTTTCTTCAGCTTATAAATCTTCGGAATGCCTGTACAAATTGTTCAGTAGACATAGTTCCCATCACTTCGAGATGCACAGCTCGAGTGGCTGAACATGTAAACAGAGCCACTCGTCGTTTGACATTGGCATGATCCTCCTTTATTAGAACTAGCCCAAACAGGTTTAAACCAACTGTTTCGAACGATATCGTTTCTACAACTCTAGCAGCGGGATAAGGAGGAAAGTCTGGTTGCTCAAATGGCGTAGCCACCCACATAATACAACCTTTACAAATCTTTCTCAAAATTTTATTAATATATGACCACCCATGCAAGATCCAGTACCGTTGTTTCATTTTGCACCAGATATAGTGCACGCTCGCATGAGATAATTTCTCATGGTAATTCTTCACGATCAGTTCTGCTATCTTTCCTCTGTTGATGAAATACGGGAAATCCTCAATTCGAGGCATAGCCCTTCTAAGTTTTCCAACACATCTTCAGATTCCATTCTGGTCTTAAACCCCAGTTTTCGATTTCCTTTTGCATTATGTTTAACTGTGCAATCTTAACTATCAATTGCATTACCTTGTCATACTCATTAGATGCAAAATTCTATCTGGAGAACCTTTACAAACTTATCTTCTCCTTTGATACCTTTGCAAGGAATCGTAAGACGTATAACATCATTCTTATCAGCTTAGACAGCGATGAAAATCCTGTCTCATCTATTAATGCCGTAACCTGATCTGACTGGACTGCTTCTTCCATCAATCCCATGGCCATATACACACTTGTGATGTTTCCTTCCATAATTTTATTCTCGGGCCATTTTTCATCCGGCTCCCATAACTATGACGGTCCATTTCACACAACGAATTGTCTTTCAGTTTACCTCGGAGAAGTCTTCGTCAAGCCTGGTCTGCTGAATTATTTGCTGATCTTACATGCAGGACACAAGCACTATCTGTCCATAAATATGCTTCTTCTGCATCGATTTCTTGTTTAATGAATTACAGTACTCTTACTCCAATTGTGGCGGCGAATAATTCTAATCGAGGAATACTGGCTGACTGATTCCTGCTTTCTCATTTTGGAACTAATCTTGTCTTTCCGTATATTATTTGTGGTTTGGATGGAGTGACATTACTTCTTCGTACGTATGCTGCTAATCCCACAACTTTTGGAGATGCGTCTACGAATACATGTATCTCGGAGCACTCTTGCGGCGTTCATCGATATACTTCTATGACATCCTGTTGGTTAAATGCCTTTTCTAACTCCAAGCAACGTCTCATTTCATTGGGTTCTAATTTTTCATCCCAGG